CATCAAAATTCTCGCTAATCCTGGGTTAGCTTAAGGTAATTCCCCTGAAATAAAACTGCCAATAGATTTTTGTTCAAACTTTGTCCACTGAATATTTATGAGAACTTCAATTTAAAAAAAAAAAAGGGGGGGGGGGGTGCCCATGCTCGTTAATGAGCAGTGAGGCATTGAAAATGTCCCATTTTAGCAGTATTTAATGCTTATTACAAGAACGCATTCCAAGTTATTGTAAACTCTTCGTGAGCCCAGACTCATGAAAACACGCCTCAAACTACAGTCAATACTTGTGTCGGACACAAATAAACTTTTTAAGTTTGATTTTGACAGACAGCTGAATCCTTGTTAAAATATTGGAACCAAATTGCTTGCCACGGCTATCAAACTGCAAAATAGAAAAGACTACAGTGCAGCTGCTATGATTAGTTGATTAAAATGACTGGAAAAAAATTTGGGGTGCCCGAGTTCGTTAGTGAGCTATAGCCAGTTTTTCAAGTGACGGAACTCAATATCAAGACAAATCCGCCATGTTTTCAATGTGCGCGTGGACGAACGCGCGCTAATGACGCCATAAATTATGTGCAGTAAGGATGCGCAATGCAAATGTGAGGAATCACCTTAATCAGGCTTTGAACAACCCGGCCCTGGTCTTTCTGGATGCTTCTGCGCCACGTAACTTTATGTCTACGTTTCGGTGTGCCTTGTGGGTTTCAATTCATCCCGTGGCGCGCTATGTTCCTCTCACCACGCCTTAGTGTGAGACCAATCCATTTCCAGCGTCTTCTCTTAATAGTGGTGTTGATAGGCTCTCGGCCGGTTAAAGCTGGTTACATGCAGGAACTCAATCTTCTTATATTACCTTGACCATCGAAAGGTTTTGCCTGCTGCTGTATACGTTTGAATTACGTTTGGTTTATGGAAATGGTAGTGCTCCATTTTAAATTTCTGCGATTCTCTCTCGAGTAAGACTCCACGAAGCTTTACCAATATTCGTCGCAACCTCCAAGTTTTGCTGCAGAAAGTCTAGTTGGCAACGTTAGCCTGGCATTTTTTTGATTTAGTTAAGTCAAATTGTAGCTTGAATTTTCAAACATTAATAGCAAATACAAGAATTGAATCTTTCTCAAATTTGACTTTCTGTAAATTAAAGCTTATAGACCAACCCTGATACCAAAGAAAAAAAAAACTTAAAGTACATTTCGAACAAAATCGACAACCAAAGAACGGTTACGAAATGTTTTGGGACATACATAAGTTACCAGCACAATAATTTTTGAACTTATTAAGTGATTTTCTAGTGGGTATCTGGAAACCCAGACGGAGAACTGGGATTCAAAAGAGTAACGTGTCGAAGTAATATGCCATTTTTCTATGCTCTCTGTCTAGAACTTCTTATGGACTTAGCAAGGCTTGAAACTAAATCATTATATCCTGTTTTGGCATACAATTACTATGATTATTATACATCAAACTCACTATCTCTTTTCTGATTGGTCGAAAGCGTACGGTGAATTTTTGAAATCAGCGCCTGTGACGTCATCTCTGCAGATTATACAATAATCATGCCAAGGACACTCAAGGTTACGGGTAATTATGTCAAGTTCGCGCGCTTTGTGTTGCTTGCCGTCAGTGAAGAAGCGAAAACATGACTTCCATTTTTTTCGTTCAATGTATAATAAAACAATCATTAGATTGAGTTTTTGTTATATCCAGAATAATCAAGGTCTCGGTAAGGGTTATCAGCCTCGACCTTGATCATTCTGGATATCACAAAAAAAACCTCGTTCAATAATTGTTTAATATCCCACTGCTGACCTGATTTTCTTTGTATACATACTCGTCTATATTACTTCTGGAATATCACGCTCATGGTATGCCAGTGGAAAGTATTGCATAGGTTTACTACACTATAGGCCTAGCTGTAAAAGTAATCTTGCCCTTTTGCCTGGAAACGCACAAGGAGATTCACGAGAAATTATCAATGTGTTCTTGTAAACCAATTTGGTTGTTAATTAAATTTTTATTTTGAGGTAGGTGGTCTTTTACTGACTTTATGTATTTTCGTGGGCATACACGTTGTTAAAGTGAAAATGATTTAATTTTAACGAAATCAAAATGCCAATGTTCCAATATTTTTTCCAATGGTCACTTACAAGTTTGCTTTTTTTTGTTCAAAAGTGGCAGCCAATGAGGCTGATGTGGACCTACAAGTAACTAATAAAATGTAATACAATAAATAAAATAATTTACCCTATGGTATTAAAACGAACAACTGGCTAAAACGAAAGTAGATAAAGTATCATATCAATAAAATAACGTACACTGACAAATAAAATGCCATGTTGACCTCGAAAAGAAAGTTAAAGTTCGTTTTAAAATAATGATAAAACAAAATGATAAGTTTGGTTTTGTTTTTCATCTCTACTTGTTCAAACAGTACGTATCTGTGAGACGCTGACTGTCCCTGAAAATGGAGAAATCGTAGGAAACTGCTACAACACTTACGGATCCACATGCGAGTTTCAGTGTTCCGAAGGACACGAACTGACCGGGAGTTCTACTAGAACATGCACCATTGATGAATATGACGTTATGGTTTGGAGTGGGAACGTTGTGACATGTCCAGGTATGTGGACAAACATTACATACACAAAAGAGATTAGTACCAAAGGGTCAAGGAGTGGTATTTTGAATTATCTTGCCCAAAGAAATAAAAAATTGCCCTTAAATTGAAGGACACCTGAAAATAGTGGTTTACAAATGTAGAAAAATACTAAAGAGATAATAATAAACCATAAAGGAACTAGGATGGTTGAGGATGGAGAAGATTATTGCACGGATTACAAACGACGAATTTGAAAAATTTAACCTAAACTTTTCAAGATGGATAAACCGTTTCAAAACTTCTTTAAGGGCCCATTAACCGATTTATACGCGCTCGCGCGCGTTGCCAAGGAGGTGAAATTTCACTTTCGGTTACTCACGTCAGCCTGAGCGCGGAAAATAAAAACAACTCTATAACTTCCAAATTCGCTTACATTTTAGATGTTTTTCTTTGTGTTTCACAAAATGCAAAGTAAAAAAAGTACAAGCAAAGACAAAATAAGAGAAAGACAGAAAAACAAGAACAATAGAAAGAGAAAAACTAACTCCGTGTGGCTTTGTTAGATTTTACCGATGTGCGCTGGTAGTGTAAATTGCGTGCGCGCTGATAGGGTAACTCCCAATGTATATCGGGCGCACTTCTGCTTTCTTCAAATGCTAAAGGAAACGCGGTTTTTCATTAAATCCGGCCTTTTTTGACGGATTCCAATTAAAACCAACGTTGGTAACATAGCTATGCATTCCTTTTTGGAAATCACGCTTTTTTTCAGAAAATTACGAACTTTCTAATATTTTGAAATTATCTCAAAATCTGACCTTTTAGAAATGAGACAAAATCTATGCATAGCGTAATGAGGATTGAAATTAAAAAATTAAACCAATGAAAAAAATCCCGATAAAGTAATTTTCCTGGGAGCCTTTGGTTTTTTTTTAGTATTAGTCACATGACCGTGGGCGTGGCTTGATTACCTCATCACTATTGTTTCTGTTCATGAAAAAGTTAAAACACATGAAATAACTCTGAAGTAACTAAAAATGATGAGGTTATATGAGAATAAATGTTCCTTAGCAACGGCTCGAAAAGATCGGTTAATGGGCCCTTAAAGGAATAATGTTTCGACCATTTGTCACCTTATGTGTGTACAAGCACGGCGAGGATTAAGTTTGTAAATTTCGGCTGGTAAACTATAGCAGCACTACTGGTCTATAATTATAAAGGACTAAAGATCAGGTGAAATAGAATGTACCTCGAATAAATTGAATGAACGGCTCGCATACACAGCTGTAACTNAAACTATAGCAGCACTACTGTTCTATAATTATAAAGGACTAAAGATCAGGTGAAATAGAATGTACCTCGAATAAATTGAATGAACGGCTCGCATACACAGCTGTAACTTCAAATGTCATTCTCAAGCGCTTTAATAATTCGTCGAGTTTACAGAAAGGAAATCATGACCCTTAGTTTTAGCTTCGCTCTACAAGATGTATCAAACACTCAAAAAAGTGTTTGAGCACATTGACAAACACCTCGAAGTTCGTTCATCCGGCTTCTTGGTGTTTGGAAATGTGGAAATCATGACCCTTGTTTCAGCTTCGATTAAGAAGATATATCAAACCTCAAGAAAGTCAGTTTGAGCAAATTTACGGGCAGCTCGAAGTTCGTTCATCTCTTTTCGGTGCTTGGAAATGTGATCAAACAAGGTCGGTCGTTACTTTCAGTGCGACGGTCATTTCGCTATTAAAGCCAGAAGTTTAGTTTCACTAATCGATTTCTCTGAGGTAATAACATCGCATATAGAAATTGAGTGCGCATTATCTAATTGCCAAACAGAAACACTCGTTTAGGAGAACTGGAAAAAGCTGTGGAAATTTCTCGTTTACCAAAAATTATACTCGCTTTTTCATTCCGATAGTTAACGATTGGAACTGGAAAATTGTGTTATAATTTCTGTGCGCTTATGTTCTCGTCTCCAGAAGAATCTTCGGCAATGAAGGAGGTAGAGGTAATTTGGAAGAAGAAGAAAGTAATTTTAGATAAACTAGACAATTATATATACTAGGTTTCAACTGATTAATGAAAATTTGTCTTCTGTTTTTTTTTTTTTACTTTTCGTAGTCATAATCATGATAGCACCCTTCTAATTAGTAATTCTCTTGTTTTATCAGATATACGATGTCCTTATGTTATTGTCTATAATGCTGAAAACCCTACGGGCACATGTACCAATCCAGATGGAAGCACAGCCACTGATTTCCTTTACCAAACTACCTGTAGCTTTCAATGCTTGACTGGCTTTGACAGAATTGGAAGCGAGAACATTACGTGTCAGCTGAGCGGAGACTGGTCTCCAGATCCTCCTTCTTGCGAATGTAAGATATTATTCGCGCAATCTGCTGCTTCAAAGGGCGGAACAGTTGCTTTCATTAAAGATTTGGGTATACATAAGCAAGCAAAAACTAACGATAAAAACCTACGTTCCGTAGTCAGTTCATTACGCCATTGTACAAATTCTGCGAGTTAAAAAATTCATTTTTTCACCGACCTCTCTCAACTCGCCTTGACAATGACGTCATGAACTGACGCCGAAAAGTAGGTTTTTATCGTTAGCTTTTGCTAGCTCATGCATAAATTTTAACCCCGTTTATAAGACGAAGAAGATATACCCATATTTCTTTGAAGTAAGAGCTTTTCAGACGGCGATTTAAGATTTAACCAAAGAAACATCGGCCTTCGCTGAGGGAGATATGTGAAGAGCCTCTCGTTATCTCGTACAAAAGATGAAAATCGCTCAAAGACACATTCGTGAGATCCAAACTCTAAAGGCAAAGAAACTGCATTTGCAAACAGCGGGAATCGTGTAGCCCTGTCACAGCTTTCAATTTCTTGAATGTATTCCCTGGAAGTCCTTAGCGACTGGAGACCACTAGGATGCAGGTTCGGATGGAATTTTGACTGGGAACACAGGAAGGGTCACGGGAGACAAATAAAATTTGCCATAATTTTTATGACCTTTTATACTCGTCCTGAAAATATAATTAGCTCTTATTAACCGAGCAGGAGGTACGTATTGGAAAGTCTCGACCGAGGTCGTGAGTACAGACCGAAAAGCAGTTAGGTCTGTACACACGACCGAGGTCAAGATTATCCCATACAGACAGACTAGGCTCGGTTAATAAGACGTTTATTATATGGCAAACAAGAATAGTTTAATACGTTTAATGTAACTGGTTTATACTAGCTAACATTTTGCTTGTGAACCGCGATGAGCCAAACTTAATTATTCCAAAGTTTGCTCGTCTTATTTACTTTTTTTCTCATCAGGCTTTTTGGCACTTCCATAAATATATACTGTTAGTAAAGTTGCATTTTAGTTTGCAAATTTTTCGCTGCAAAACATTACTGGTTTAGATGCCGGTCTGGATGGGAAAATCTAGACTGCTTTCAATATTAATTTCAACCAATCAAATTCGTTAATTTCGTATTTCCCCGTCCTTGTGAGACAGAGCCATATATAAAATTAAACATATTGAATTGGAGTGGAACCTCTTTATCTGGTCACTTACAGGCCACAAAAATCTGGTCGTATAAAGAGAGGCGGGGGGACGGTGGGTCCGGCCAGAATAAAGTGGCGTGATAACGAGGCGGCCGAATGAACGGACTGGCCATAAGGCAGGGTTGAACTGTAGATCATAACTAGTTTCCTCTTATTATAGTCTCCCATTGCGGAAGCTTCATAAATATGGCGTGGACACGAGTAGTCCCAAATGGTTTGAATCATATCTCTGCGACCAAAGCCAAAAATGCAGCATAAATGGCCATTTGTCGGGTGTTGCCCCAGATTCCTGTGGTGTCCCACAATGTAGCAACCTTTTACCACTCCTATTCTTAGTTCACATTAATGATCCGCCTAGTTGCCTCAGTTCAACCTCTGCGAGGGTGTTCGCTGACGACACAAATATAACTTACGCTGCCAGTACAATCGCTGACCTTGAAAATGTCGTAAACTCAGAGCTAAGAAAACTTAATTGCTGGCTTGTAACCAATAGGCTAAGCCTTAATGTTACTGTGACTGAATTTATGGTAATTGGATCAAATCAACGAGTACATGTTCTTTCGAATAACCAAATTAATGTTGTTATCGACAGAAAATCGATCAAAAAGGTCAAAGAAGTCAAATCACTGGGTGTGGCTATTGACGAACACCTTTCATGAACAAGACATATAGACGAAATGAGCAAGAAGATATCCTCAGCCATAGGCGCCTTTAAAAGTGTATTCATCTCTGAGAGAACCGCTCTCCAAATCTACCTTGCGTTGATTTTATCCCGCTTTGACTATTGTAGCCCTGTTTGGGATGAACGCAACGTTACCTTGAGCGATAAATTAAAACAAAAAAACTCCAAAACATGGCTGTCTGGGTCATTACCAGGTCCAGTTATGCCATGTTCAAGTTTCCTCCTAAATTTGACTCCACTGGGACAATCTCTCCACACGCCGGAAAAAGCTTAAGGTGATGTTGATGTTTAAAGCAATTGAGAGGCTTTCTCCGGCGTACCTGCAAAACGTTTTTAGCATCTGCAGTACACCGTATTTTCTAAGAGATTCTGAGCTCAAATTAGACTTGCCCAAGCCGCGCACAAACTACTGCAATCATGGCTTTTGCTACCGCGGGGCGCTATTTAAACAATAGAGTGTTTTTGTCGAGGAATTATCGGCTGATAGTTGCCCCGCGGAAATTTGATGTTCTTAAAACAAATACTTGCCCGAGAAGCGAAGCTTCGAGGGCAAANTATGCTAGTTTTAAGAACATCAAATTTCCAAGGGGCAACTATCAGACCGATAGTTCCGAGACATAAACACTCTATTGTCTTTATTGTTCACCACTAAATGTTCTTCCGCGCGCCAGTTCAAAACTCATACTGAATTATTTTCAACTTTTTTAGATGAAAGCCGTGAAAGCCAAATGTAAAATTTGAAAATGAAAACAAACAAAAACCCTCTTAATACAAATTCAATTGTTTATTTTCTATAAGCCCGCTTGTTTACAGAANTTAAACTTCACGCTCAGTAACAAAATCGCACAGACTGAATTATTATTGGAAATTGGCAGTTCTTTACTCGCGCGTGCTTGTTTTTTCCAATACTTTCAAGTTTTTAAGGTCAAAACAACGTTACCTTCTTTGATCCTTCTCAGGAATTTAATTAGCCATTTGCGTCCAAATGTTCCTCCAAAACTTCGGAAAAATGAAAAAAACGTGGCCATTTCGTAGACAACCGAGAGCCGCTGCACGCTAATGGCTGATAGTGTAGGAGTAACTCAGCCAATCCGATTGCAGTATTTGCATTAGTATACTAGTAGAATTCTATTCATAAACAATTAGATTATGAGCTCGAGATTTCTATCGCGTGATTGTTGACGAGGGTGCAGCTCGAGTCAACTATTACGCATAGAAATCGAATAATCTACATGTAATTGGTTTAGAATAAATCTACTAGTCGTTCAAAGTTTTATCTAAAACCCCTTCACAGACAGTTCGAAAACGCCAGAAGCGGCCGTCAATTTGTTAACAAACAAACAAACAAACAATAGCGTAATACTCTTTTGTTCACATTCAAGCCGCATTGAAGACAGCGTAACCTTGCTTTTCCGTTTTCACGCACACGTGTTTGATAACAACAAGACCTATCCTATAATACTTGTTACAGGCAGCCACAGGCAGCCCAGCAGACTCTACAAATAATTTATAGACACTCCCCTTATGGGACTTTTCAATGACAATAGTAACAAGGACACACTACTACGCTCCTCACTATTTATCACATTTTAGTATGAATCTACTGGCGTTCTATCACGAATGCTGTTTCCTGATCGGCTACGTTACTCACTATCTATTCTGCTGTTGATAGTGAGTAGCGCTTGTTAACAAAATGTCGGCCACTTCTTTGCGTTTTCGAGGTGTCTACGTGGTGGATTTAGGTAAAGTCTGAACGACTAGTAGATTTATACTAAAACAATTAGATTATTCGCTCTCGAGCTCATAATATAACTGATAAATAGAAACACTCGTGGAAGTTTGGGAGAACTAGAACTCGAACTCGTTCTCCCAAACCTCTTTTTCTATAACTCTATGGACACGCGGTAAATGTTTTCTATTTCTTAAATATAACTAACCAACATTTTTAATACGGTGTGTACTTTCGTTAAGGAGGGAAAAAGACACATGATATTGCAAAAAATGCGGAAATATCTCACAATTTCAAAATTCAATCTTTGGTCAACTTATTTTGTTGACAGGCCTTTTGCCATGTTAGTGCAACGTTAGTTTGTAATTGAGAGCATTGCAGCTTAGTAAAAAAGAATATGTTTCAACTAGTATAGATATATATATATATTTTTTTTTTTTTTTTATTTCAGCCATGAGAGGCTGTCTAACCGTCAAAGCTGCCAAAGGAGAGCTAAAAGAGCAGAACTCGATGTTGCAGAAAGAAAAAGGGTTGGGGGGCGGTGATTGCAAGGCCTATACTTTTTTTCATTTTTCCCAAGCTAAGACGCAGAAATGATCTATCAGAAACAACAGGCGACAGCAAACGTTTAAGATTGCCAGATTAAATCCGCGCAAAGTTACAGCAGCCGTCCACTACACTGTATTGTCTGTAGTGAATTGTCGTGCTCTCGATGCCTTAACCTTGGCCGGGTTAATTGGCCTGTGAGTCCAGCGTGAGCTTCTTTGAATGCGTTGCTGAGAATTGTTTGATCGTGTCTTTGTTACTTGAAATTTTGAACTTTGAATAGTGATTTTGGGATAATTGAGCTCTTTGTGACCTAGCCGTCAACAAACCTAAAAAAGCAAACATACAATAAAAAGAAAACAAACAAACTCCGCTAATAACACCTGTTTATACCTCTTGTTAGATTATCAACCTCCTAGACTAACCTGCCCCGACGGTACTACTACTGTAGGCAACGATGCAGGGAAAAATACATCATCAGTTAGTTGGAATTTTTCATTCACTGACAACTCTCTGACGGAGAATCAACCTGGAATAACGGAGGATGACATTAAGGTCGTACTGACGATAAACGATGTCAATGTGGATACAACTCTTCCCAAGCTGTTAGGGATCGGCACAAACGCAGTGAAATACGTTGTGACAGACGATGCTAACAACTCAGATTCCTGTACTTTTACTTATTTTGTAAATGGTAAGTAGAGACGTTTCAACATTTTCTCGATTACCTCGAGGGAATAGTACAGGATTTTGTCTCTGCAACGTAACCTCTTGTGTGTGCCTAGTTAAATGGAAAGCTGATGAGATTTATGATCCTACTGCTTTGATTTCTGTAGATACTGAGGCTCCAGTCTGTGGTTTCTGTCCACCGGACCAAACCATCGCCAACGCCACTGGTGATGAAATAAGGGTGAACTGGGACCAGCCCGAATGTACCGACAACTCCGGAGAACCGCCCTACATCTACTCAGAGAGACAATCTGGTTCATATTTCTCGGTTCCCAGTTCCACTGAAGTGTTGTACATCGTCCGTGATGGCAACGACAACGAAAACTTAGACTGCTCATTTAGAATTACAATCGAGAGTGAGTACTTGGCTCGTCGCGTGAAAAATTGAATTGTAATTGCAGGACATTTCCACAAAATATTTACCTTTATACAGTGATGACTATATCTTTTAGTCACTCTATACCCAACAGCACTTTTCAGTTGTTCCTCATGTTCTCCGCGAGTATTCCAAGATTTCCATGGCATGTATCTCTCTGCAAGTCCTTTCGATGAATTTTCCTATGCCAGAGACAGAGTTCTCACGAGTTTAATATGGGCCCTCTTTAGCTTTCTGTGGTTTCACCGTTTCAGTGGTATTTTACTGGTTCCCTGTTAGTACACCATGAGTTCTCCTTTCCTTAATAATAATAATAATAATAATAATAATAATAATAATAATAATAACATCACAGAGTTTTATTAAGTTTCTCCATGAGTTTGTCGCATTGTCCAAGATAAGATAAACTTATGCATTTCAATGGCTCTCCATCGCAAGAATGCAAGCTTTAGGTTTCAGGTTCATTTTTTTCAAATCATTACCTTTATTACCCAACTTTATTTTGAAGAATTGACCTGTCCACTATATGAACCTCCGGAGAATGGTGCCTTGTCTTGCAACACGATTGTAGAAGACACATATTGTCAGGTGCAGTGTCAAAGTGGCAACGACTTTGTGTTCAACCCTCCTTTGTACTACTTCTGCCAAGACGGAGTATGGCAATTTTACGCCATACCAGGCCAAGAGTACAGTACTGATTTACCGTGGCCAGATTGTGCAGGTACGTTAGGTGAATGGTTCCGTAATAGCACACTTGCACAAGGATGTCGTCCTGTTTTGACTTTAACCAGCAGCAGTAATTCATTTTATTATAGACACGAATGTTTTACTTAACAAATAAAGAAGCCTATGCCGTGTATTACACTGTGATAAAACGCGACGGGCATTTGAGAACACGAGGGAAACTGTAAAAAGCACGAGCCGTAAAAAGCAGTGCGCGCGCTGTGATTGGTCAATTTAGCGGGCCGTATGCTCCTGCAAGGCCCGCTAAAATTTCAAGTTGGTTTTGTTACCAAACTGTTTCGTATTTATCGCCAAGTGTTCTTAACTTTTATAGCATGCGCGCAAGTGAAAGTTTAAAACTTTCTTATACTCTAAATTGTGTAATAAAGCGTGCTAACGACTTAAAAACAANAGAGAGATACTGGCCTCGAGCAAGGCACCAATGACCAAGCAGGGCAAGACGCATTCAATCAAGAGAAGGCAGATAACGAGCAGTCGAGAACAGAAGTCTATGAAGGCTTCGAAACAGTTAACTGGTCAGAATATCAGGCATCATCAGGACTCGAATTAAAAGATTACAACGTTGCAAACATAAACCTCGGACCGGTGGAAGCTTATTGTTCAGAAGACGGTGCCGTGGTGAGGAAATGTGAATCGAGTGACACCAGTTGCAACAAAGACATAGGATCAATAACAAAATGCAGTAAGCACACAATTGTATTTGCTTTTGTTATATGGAGAGATGAATTGTTACTTACATGGACTGCCATAGCTATCGTCGTGGCCTCTTACATAAACGATTAGCTGACTTGAATGGTATCGACAGCTAGACACAAAGTAACACAAATGACATTTAACATGTCTCATTATCAAAGCCGCCAGTATTTTCAGAGAGAGAAGAAAAACATATATTTAGTGACAGTCAAGTTACTGATAAGTAGATAAGAGTTATCTTGCAAATTTCGTGCTGGAACCAGCCAGTATTTGGTACTCTGGTGATTAGCTCTCTCGTATAGTGATCCTTCGATGTTTTAGTCCATTTGCTAATTGCCACCGTAAAATTCATATACCTGCTTGAGCGCAGTTCCATTGCTGCTATAACTCATCATTGAAAATGTATAGATCGTTATTATAACGTCATAAACAACGAAGGAGTTTTCTTTTTAGCCCGCTGTCCTGTGGGAACGTATTACGACAAGAGCGCGGATGACTGTCTGTTGTGCCCAGAAGGCACGTATAGTCCCAATGAAGGAGCTCTAGGCTGTGAGGACTGCCCAGAAGGGACATGGACTCTAGGAACAAGGAAACACAATTTTACATCTTGTACAGGTATTTGTTTCTGTCTTTGCCTGTCGCAACTGTTTGATAAATCACTTATAAAGGCGAAACAGTCTAAATTTTTTATGTACCATCTTAAGTTAAAATAATAATAATAATAA